CAAACGGTTGGAAATTGAAGACCAACGGCTAGATTTTAAAAATCTGACCGTTGGTCATTTTTTAAAAAATATATTTTTTAAAAATAGCCGTTGGGGCCCGTTAGGCCCGGTTGAACCGGCCCAAGCCCGTCTGCCGGTCCCGGGCTCACGGGCTATTTGGATTGGACCGGCCCGCTACGGGCTTATGCACCATTAGAGACCGTCCCATTTGAGACCGGCCCATTTGGCCCGTGGTCTCGGACCGGTCCAGGGCTGGGCCCGGCCCACAATACACCCTTACTATGGCTTTTGTGTATTTTTTTTTTCGAGCGTTCTCAAACAGATTACTCCATGTGCTTTTAATCGAAACTACTTGTGTAGCTTTTTTAATTAATATTCTGGATGTGTTAAACCAGTCGTTACTTCCCTTTGAAAAAAAGGAAGATTTTCATTGTATTCGTCATTTTTAAATTAGATACGATATCTATCAAACCACGTCAAAAGATCTTCCATGTTGAAATTAAATATTGATTTTTGTCTTGATCCACATGCCTAAATCAAAAAAAGTAATTCGATTTACGTCTTAGATGTAAAAAGTTCTCTTTTGGGAAACTATTGGAATAGCAGATAAATATTTAAGTAGCTTTCAAAACTGTCCATTCCAAAATACTTGTCACATCTAGCTTCTCGAGAGTAAAACTATATAAATTTTGCCTAACATTTTAATATGTATTTTTTCACCATATAGATATGAGAAGAATTGTAAACTATAGTACTTTCATTTAGTATATGAATATGTAAATTTTGATGTAAAATATTGAATTAATCCAAATCAATTTAGATTCAAAAATTAGTTAAATTGACCGTCGAAAAGCGAGACGTGATAAGTATTTTGGGACTGAGGGAGTAACCGACTTCCCCTTTATGGAAATGTTCACAATCCACACCCTGACTTTGTTTGCTTTATCATTGTCCAAGAACTTCCAAGATAAGAAATGAAAGATCAGACATTCGGAAGCAAAAACCTACATATAGCTGTGATTTTATATATCATGATGTACAACAATGTAAATACAGACAGAATTGCTTCTAGCCACAGCAATTCTCGAAACACATGCATATGATGCATCCAGGAGTGTGAAATGAATAAGTAAAACTATGTAAATATAAAAATATACTAGACCGATCCTTATTTCATCATGAACTGGATTTCTACCATTTAGCAGGGATATCAAATTAATGGATGCAGATAGCAGCAATATCCGCAGATACAAGTTAACAGCACAAGACTCTTGATCTATCATCTTCTTCCCCAAGAATCGGGGACCTTCAAGGTATGAGCAGACGTTCTCTGATGATCCGCGAATGTTCAGAGAGGAAGGTGATTGAGAAAATGTCCCCAGTGAGGATCATAATGTTGTCGAGATCCCTGACTGGTTTGAACACAGACAAGAGCAATCTGGTTCAGTGAGCTCCCTTTTCACCAGTCGCTTGTCACGATTTATCATTAACTTAACAAGCGGTAACTTCAAAGAAACCTGACGCCAAATTTCTTTTACTGTTCCATTTGGGTCCTCATATTCAAAGTAATGCTTCACCTGGAGATGCCACAAATTTCAAGAGTACAAATGTAAAACTCTTCATACTAGAAAACAAAAACAGATACGAGCAAGTTGCTACGAAAATCAAAAGGTTTCTTATGTTGATTAGATGTTAAAGAGTCCACATAAGCTAAAGCATGAAACACTTGAAGTTCAGTCAGGAAAGGTAAGATGGAGGAACAAGCAACACAATAACCTATCCAGAACAGAGCATAGTGTGGTCTACGTGCAAGGAACTATATCATGCATCAACTAGCTGTTTTAGCCACCAATAGTTTCTCCACTTCATGACTAATGAAACTCTAGAATTAGCTGGATAAGAGATCTTATGACTTCGCTTGCAATTGAATGAGTCAACTGTCAAGTACTTAGAGAGCTCATCTATGTAAACAAGATTCATTCAGCAGATATCTCATATCTGAACTTTTTCAAATGAAATTGAACACCTTTAGCTTACAATTAAGGGTGTTTCCATACATTGGCACCATTTTAATACAGCGTTCAAAGGAGTAACATTTAGAAAAGAAATAATAAAAGAAAATGAAAAATTTAAACTAAAAATTACCAAACCTGTTGAAACATGTTTCTACCCAGACTACATTTTAGAGTACCTATTGCTTATGATTTCCTGGCATTTGACCTAAATTTGAAACCGATTAACTAGATATTTGTCTGTTTGTCTCTTGAAGCAATGGAAGGAGAGCCTTGAAGCAACGGTAAAGTTGTTTCCGCGTGACGTATAGGCCATGAGTTCGAGTTGTGGAAGCACCCATTAATGCTTGTATTAGGGTAGGTTGTCTACATCACACACCTTGAGGTGCGGCCCTTCCTTGGACCCTGCGTGAACGCGGGATGCCTTGTGCACCGGGCTGCCCTTTTTTTTTCCTCTTGAAGCAATGCCCAAACTTCACAAACTAATTTTACAAATTGACAACAAAAGCTGCATCTTTGCAGATTTGAGCATTAGAAGAGACAACTTGAGATGCAATTACACACATAGAGGGCACACTGTAGAGTGAATGAGAATATCTATTGGTTTTACCACTTCTCAATCCTAGCAAGAAGAAAACAAAGGCAAAAAAGAAGAATTATGTACTAGTGCAATATATGCATGACTCCTTTATTTTCTGGCTGTAACAGGAAGAAGAATTATGTACTAGTGCAATATATGCATGACTCCTTTATTTTCTGGCTGTAACAGGAAGAAGAATTATGTACTAGTGCAATATATGCATGACTCCTTTATTTTCTGGCTGTAACAGGAAGAAGAATTATGTACTAGTAAATACCTTTTTCAGCTCCCGTTGGAATTCCAAAATCCTCTCCATGCTTAACTTCCTTAGCTTTTTAACCAAGAACCCCGGCTTCACAGCTGTGTTAGAGTCTACAAAAACTGCAATTTTCCTGTAGTCTATAATATCCTCAAATGGCAATTCAATGTAATCACTGATTATTACAGGGACACACAAGCTCACAATAGCATCAAAAAGTCGGCAAGCTGATGGAGTATCACCAGCTGGATGCAAACAAAATTTTGAGGTGTGCATCCCTTTTCTTGCCTCACGACGGCTTTCCCTAGATTGTGCACCATGTTTTATGATGACATCTTCTTCTTTCTCAAGTAGCTGAAAAAGCAAATCACGAATCTTTCCTCCCTGAAACATTAGCAAAACAAGATTTACGTAAATAACTATGAAACTCTGATGTAAATCATACTATATTTAAAAGTGGGAACCTCCACAAGGGTAAAGTTAAATTACCAAATTGCCCATTAAAATTTGAGTGACAATTCTACCCTTCACTAAGTTCCATCAAACAAATTACTTTTAAGCAGCATAGCTTGAATTAGGGTATCAAAGAGTTGTAACATACGACAATAACGAAGAGTCGCAATAGATGAGGTAACTAACAGTCTCCTTTGTTTAAGAGTTCCTTAGGCTTATCTATATCGTGTCTCTTTCTATTACCAGAGTGTGTTTCTAGCCTATTTTGTCCGTTGGATTTCACCTACTGCCTTCTTTATTCTCATGGCCCCCTGATGGAATGTTTCTCAGGAAACAATAATAGAAATAAGCACAGTTGGAGATACTCCAGTAAGCTTATTTTGATATCTTTAGACTTTAGTTTTAATTTCCTTGTGATGCTGCAATTTTATGGGGACAGATATAGATAGCATTATTGGACATTTTAGGTATGCAACATACATGAAGTCAATTGTTTTTTCTCCATATTGTTAGACATGATTTTCTCAGTTACTTCTTCAAGAATCTGAGGAAGTGGACTTTATTAATTCAGGCATGCACGTTTATGAAGTTTGCACACCCAGAAGATGGGATTATTTTTTTTATCTTCGCTGCCTCAAGAGCAGTTGGATAGAGATGCAAATTATTTACCAGTCAACTTGCTAAGTTATATTGGATGCTACGTCGTAGAAAGTGCCGGGACGAAACAAAAAATAAGTCGCTTTGCATAGATTGTAAGATCTAGAAATTGCATTTGTTATTATTGGAAAATTCAGTTATGAGGACCCTGTGTAAATCAAAATTTTGATGCCTTTGTGTTAAAATATATTTATATCTTGCAATTAATCAAGTGCATAGTCAACTCTCTTTACTCGATAGATATCAATGAATTTTTACAAATAAGAATTTTGAGTGAAACTGATTCTTGAAAGTTTGAGAAAACAGTCCTACTCTCTTTCTTTTTGAAACTATACAACTCTCTATTGTAAACTACAAGGTTAAAAACATTTCATAATTTGAGTTGAATGTCTAAGTCTGACATCTAATTAGCATATTTTGTCCTCTAGACTACAGCTTCGCTTTCTTTAATATCGAATTAGATGAGTTCATAGAGTTAGAAAATACAGAGGATGGCTTCCTCAATTGCCTACCTCACAAAGAGATTGGACTCTCTTATTCTTCATCTTATGGGTCTATATATATCAATTGAATCATTTAGTTCAACATTCTTATGATTTCTTTAACATTCTCTTGCAGGTTTGTGTAAACTTAAAAGACAGATGGTTAGTGCAATGAAACCTGGTTTTATGATTGTTTCTCCTAAGCTCTGTATCAACTGATATCATTTGGTTCGAGATTTTCATGATTTCTTTTAGTTTTGTAGCATTTTGGGGAAATAATTACTCAATAAGTACAAATTGTTAGTGTGATCAGGAGTGGTTGACTGGTTCAAGCTATGATTTCACCAATTACGTTCTAATGACAGAGGTAATTTGCTACTATTATTTTATTCTTAAATTAATTGTGGTGTTCGATGGCCCTTCTAAGCTTCCTAAAAGACTAGGTTACTAGCATTTTCACTTACGATTATGCTTAACAACTACAAATATAGTTCATTATTTTAACTCTAAAACGACCAGGTAAAATATTTTAATTAATGGCTGCTATTTTGAATGTCTTTGATTTCATCTTCAGCCTATACATTTCCTTTTTGAAAGGTTAGTGACTGGACACTAATTGAAGTTATTCTATGTAATTTTTAACGCTTTTAAAATGAGTTTGATCCATGTATATATTAAGCTTTCTGTCTTCAAAATTTTGTAACATGCTGTGAGCACGTGATTTTTGCTTCACGAAAACTACTCCAAAAGAAATCAAAAATAAAACAAAANAGTCTCCTTCACTTCATTTTGCTTCACGAAAACTACTCCAAAAGAAATCAAAAATAAAACAAAATTCTCTTGGTGTACAATTTTTAGGATTTGCGTGACATTTTTGGATAATTATTTGTGTTTTTGTCCGTAAATGTTTACCTTGTTGTAGTTAATTGAAAAATACAAAAAAAAATAATACATATTGCATGCATATTTAGGATTTAATTATGCATTTAGGAATTAATTAAACCATTAATTGGCTCTAAAAGGAAAATCAGAGCCAACTACCAGGACTCCCTCCAAGTAGGAAGAGGAGTAGCTGTCCAATTGTTGACATTGGCAGGCCCCACAAACTGTATGTCTGCCTTACTGGAACTCTCTCCAGCTTCTATCATGTTGACATCTGCGAACATTCTTTCAAAGCCCTCATTCAAATCTCCATCTGGCCCGATCAAGGGTCCAAGAATTTCCGGGACTGGCAACTTTCTGCACCCTGCTTTGACAAATGATATGGACAGGCGTGGGATTGGCTTAGGAAGGACCCAGACTCTTTTCTTCAACTTGCGGGCCCGCTTACATCCGCTGCGGTAGGCTTGAATCCCAACCCAAAAGTATCCAGGTTCTTGGGCAAAGAAACTGGCTGGACCATTCCCTGCAGATCAATCCCCAGACCCTTTCCTGGGACAAACCCGCTGTTCAACATCTCTGAGGCTATCACGAAGGTTGTAGCTGTGATTCTGGGAAGTGGAAGGCCCCCACCCTCAGGAATTTTGTCTACTGAGATTGTGTCAAAAACTTGATAAACCCATGGGCCTTTGTCATCGTCGGTTTCTATGAAGGGTACAATAGCATCACTGACGGCATGTGTGCCGTCATCCCCGTGTACCACAATCTCTTGTCTATCCCATTCAAATTTGACCATTTGATGCAATGTAGAAGGCACTGCTTTAGCTGCGTGGATCCAGGGTCGTCCCAACAAAAGATTGTACGACACTGCCACGTCTATCACTTGAAATTCCATGGTGAACTCGAC